ATTCCCTCTAGTCATTTTGTCACAAGACTTAGAAGGCTAGACCTTCCGGCTGGTGTCATAAGTGAGTTTATGTGTGTGGGCCACTTGGCCACACCCCTGACTACGGCCACCGTCATACCGTGGCCCACCTTATTCTCTGCGTTTGTTTTTAATACCTTTTCTCTTTTGCCCGGTGTTCTCACCTACTGCAGTACCAGGTGCCCGTGTAAGCATGTCTTGCCCCTCAGTTCTTAGTGCTCAGCTTCTTTACACCGTCTTCTGACCAGGCAGAACTATCCGAACCTGATTTCTCAGCTTCTGCTATGTCTTCCAGGTTAGAAACCACAGTATACAGATGTGTAATTTGATTTTTTTATTTTTTGGTTTCTTGATACGGGGTTTCTCTGTATGGCCCTGGCTGTCTTGGATCTCATTTTGTAGAACAGGCTGGCCTAGAACCCAGAGACCCACCTGCCTCTGCCTTTCCAGTGCTGGGATTAAGGGTGTGTGCCACTATTGCCCGGTGATGGCTTGATGTTCAGTCACAGGTTTCTTTGTCTGGGCCTCTGTGGTCACTTTATTAACAACTAAGATCCACTTCATGTCAAGCGGTCATGTCCACGTATGAATTTTGATGTAGCTGAACCTCTCTTATGGCCACGCCTTCTCCCCTGAAAATTTCCTCAAGAGTCAAGTATGCACTACAGCTTGCTGCCTCTGAGGTGTGATCTTCCAGACATATACACAACTGTCCGTACTTTCGTGTCCCATGTTTACACACCTTCCACACTGTGCTGTCTGCCTGGACTTGAATCTGGGGCTGGGGGCCTCGAGCCCCTTGCTCTGTGATCCTGAGGAAGGCCCCTGGCTCTAGCCAAGCCAGCTAAGTCTCCCTTTCTCCTACTTTTCTCTGACTCACAGACAGCAAACCTGCTAGCAAATTAGGTTAGGGGAGCTAGGTGAAGGTTGCTGAGTTGAGGCCTCTAGGCTGTTTCATGTCGTAATTACAGGTTACTCACTGCAGTTGCTAAATGTTAAATTATAAGCGTTGGCTCTCTGTGCATCATTTTACCACAATTATGATAATTATGTCCTTGCCAGAAGGTCAGCAGAGTGGCCTCAGAGGAGGATGGTAGAGTGACAGATGACTTGGGAGTTGGGGCTGAGCAGGGTAGTGGGGTAGGTGTTCTCATATGAACAACAAAGTGGGGCCATGGCTGGCTAACCTCAAGCATTTCAAATTCTGAAAGAAAAGGATTCTTTTTTTTTCTAGGTGACTTTTTCTCCATTTATTTATTTACTTATTTATCTATCTATTCACTCATTCATTCATTTATCAATTTACAGCCTGATCCCAGACCCCTCCCTCCTCTCCTCCCAGGCTCACTCTCACACACTCTCTCCTGGTTTCCCCCTCTTTTTCTTCTCAGAGAAGGGGAGGTTCTCAAGGGGCACCAACCTAGGCTGGCACCTCATGTCACAGCAGAACTAAGTGCATATCCTCCCATTGTGACCAGACAGGCATCCCAGCTAGGGGAAAGGGATCCAAAGGCAGGCCACAGAGTCAGAGACAGCCCCTGCTCCTGTTGTTAGGGGACCCACATGTGACCACGCTGCACATCTGCTACATGTGTGTAGGGGTCCAGGTCCAGCCCACGCCTGCTCTTAGGTTGCTGGTTCAGTCTCTGAGAGCCTCCATGGGCCCAAGTTAGTAGACTCTGTCAGTCTTCTTGTGGTGTTCCTGACCCCATGGCCCCCATAGTCCTTCCTCCCACTCTTCCCGAGCTTGGCTTATTGTTGGCTCTCGGTCTCTGTAGCTGTTTCCACCAGTTACTGGATGAAGCCTTTCAGAAGACAGTTCTGCTAGGCTCCTGTCTGCAAGCAGTGTCATTAACAGTGTCAGGGGTGGCTCTCTCCCATGGGGTAGGTCTCAAGTTGGGCCAGTCGTTGGTTTGTTCTAGGTGATTCTTTAGTGATAGCCATTTTGTATCACAGACTAGTCATCGCTATACCATGGAAACCTCAAGGCTTAGCAAAAGCCACCGCTGTTGGCAGTCGAAGTTGTGTCTGTGGCACAGAGTCCCACTACTCCTACTGCAGAGATTTCCCACCAATTTCTCCATTAAAGAAATGCCTGAATCTTGTCTCTGAGAGCCTCTGATTACCATCCAAATAGGAGATGCCATATGCTGACTTTGCGAACCCTGTCTAACTCTGGGAATTAGAGCTATCCTATTTTGAAAGAACCGGAGGTTCAAAAACAGGCCCTATCACCATAGATTGTGGAAACCACAATATGGCACTGGTTTCTAAGCCACACAGTCTATCCTGCACAAGGGCCTATGTGCATGTTTAAAAAGTTTGCGAGGTGTCCAGTCCCACAGAGCCTGGCCCCACCACCTTCTTTCCATTGTTGGGTGCCCTGAAATGTGCTAGCCCACACTTTGCAGCAGAACATCTCCAGGGCCACATACACACAGCTCATCCTGTACTTGTCACTCTGGGCCTCAGACTCAGCCTCACATCTGAGGAGCTATAGATGCTCCGCCCAGGGGCTGTGCTAGGAATGTATCATAGATATCTGTATCAAACTCTGACCTCGGTGGGGCCATTCCTCCCCACCGCAGGGCAGGGGGGAGATGCTGGAACCCTTCTTGGGTTTGGCTCATAAAATGTTACCCTTCCCACACCAAGACCTTTCCTTACAGAACTTCGCAAAGTGCTCCTGGGAAACCTCAGTCCAGGCCCCTATGGGTCCGTGGTCAACCAACCAGAACCTAGGAGTAGAAAGGGACAGTGGTTGGGACACAACCTGGCAGCCTTGGCAGACTGTTCGTTCTCCTGCCACCAGGAGCCCTGTCTGTTGTGGGTATCCTCTCTGCAGATGGCTTTGCTGCAGGGCAGTGGTCAGCACAGGTATCAGGGCGGAACTCCACACAAGCCCGCAGAGGGCACTTATCCCAGCTCCAGTTCTGCGGCCCTGTCCCCACCCCACGCCAGCCAATGGGTCAGCGGTGAGACTGAGGAAATACTGCTTCAGCGATCCTACGGGAGGATCAGGGTCCAGGAAGGCGGTATCAACCTCCTCAGTGTCGTGTGGGAGTCTTGCCCTGACAGGCAAACATCCATTTTTACCTTTTCATTTTTAATTTAACTTTAAAAGGTTTACGTAAAAACTGAGCAGAAAATAGGAAAATCTCCAATATGTACTCCTTCCTCCCCTGTCATTATGTGTGACAATCAATGAGCTAATATTGGTTATGTCATAAACTAAAGCCCAAAGTCTAAATTCCAGTCCAGTCTTGTGTTCCAGTTTTTTGACAAATGCACACGAGCTTGTACCATTCCCTGGGACAGAACCAGCTTGAGTCAACCTGAGACCCTGGTGACTTCAGATTATTATTCTACCTGTGTTTCTGATGTGATGGTCTGAAACATGACAAGCCACATAGGCCTTTCAAGATGGAGGAGACCTGGCTGGTTACATGCAAACATACTCAGCTCTACAGAGCCACTGGGAAGAGGAATTACTACACAAGCAAGTGGCTGGAGTTTACAGCGTGCGATTGGCATGTCCCTGTTCTCACCAGCTTGGGGACATCACCTGCTCATAAACTTCTGTGCGCTGGCACCCTGCAGCGATGAGGCAAGGCCTACACTCTAAGCCTTTGGAGTTGGTGGAGTAGGCCTCCAAGCTCTGAGTGCGCAGGTGTGTCCCTGGAGCATCAGACAGGCCTTGAATTTCAGGTGACATCATCTTATATGCCAGGCAGGTTTCCAGTTCTGCGTTTTAGTTCAGCAGAAGAACCTTCTCGGTTGTGGGATTGTTTGCACTGATTCTTACCCGGCAGCCGCCTTTCCCAGCTCCTCAGACCCTGCACCTCTCCTCAGCTCTCTGTAGGGCCTGGAATCCACAGGTGGTGCTGGCTCCTCCTTTGTCCTGAAGATTTATAGATGTGTCCCTCTCCTGTTCTCAGTATGGTCTCCACCCAATAAAACAGATTTCTAGGCCTCTCCTCGTGGATACGGACACCTACAATCCCCGTTTCCACCCTGCTCCTGTATAACACCTTCAGTAAAGGTTAGGACCCCCATGATCTCAATCTGACTATCCACAAAAGAAAGGTGCTGGAAGAGCCGCCCTCCATTGCCAGACTGGCTCTCAGATGGTGATTCTGTGTTTTCCACTGGGGACAATTGGAGTTGTCCTTCGTGGGAGTAGGAAGGGAGATTCTATTGATGTATAGAACGTGTGCCAAGACGGAATGATGCTGAAGTCCCACCCTGCCCACGACCGGTTCCACTGTGAAGAGGCATCTAGCCTCGAACCTCAACTTCAAGATGATAACACATCTTCAAGATGGCGCACATCAGACACAGAGACCAAAGGTCCCTTGTTAGTGTGGCCCGGGGATTGTACACCTGAGGCTTTTCTGTGGGCTGATGTTCCAGGGCCTAACCTCGAAGAAGCTGCCGACTCTTTCTAATGGCAGTGTCTCTCTTTCTCTACCAGCGCAAATTTTGAATTTGGGGAGCGGCTGGAGTGGGCACCAGGAACTTCAAGAAGCCAGTGAACCCCGGATGCACCAGAGGCCACTCAGGTTGTCTCAAGGATGGAACCTGGCTGCTGGCGGGAGCTTGGCTTGACTTGACAAACACTCAGTCTCAGGTTTCTTCACCTCAAGCAGCCTGGTACAGTTCCCCTAGGCCCCTCCGCAAGCCCATCCTTTTTGAGCCCTCCTCCCGGACTTGTTCCTCTCCTTCGTGCGCGCTCCCTTCTGCAGTGTTTTCGTTTGTCCCACACACTTTCCTGCGTCCTGTGCCACGAGACGCTGCCCATTGGGCATCTGCGGCGTGACACCAGGGCGTTCTAGGCCTGAGCTGGCAGGGCGCAGACCAGTGAGCTGGCGCGCAGGGCGGAACCGCTGGCCCCAGCCGAAGGGCAGGCAGGGGCGGAGCTCGGGCGGGGGCGGGGCGGCTCCACGGCTCCGCCCCCCAGCTGAGCCAGACTCGGGGCCGGGAACTTGCCAGCTCAGAGGTTCCAGTGTCAGCCGGCGCGCTTCTCTGGTTGCAGCTTGAGCGGCTCGGGCGGCTCCTGTGGTGGGCGGCGAGGGGCGAGCCGGGATGGGCAGCGGACGCGCGACGTGATCACCCCGCGCGCGGAGCCACGCCGGCCGCACCGTCTCGGGAGTCTTCTCTGTGGGTTCGGGCGCGCACCGGACGCAGACCCGGCCGGAGCATGCGGGGTGCGGTGTGGGCGGCCCGGAGGCGCGCGGGGCAGCGGTGGCCTCGGTCCCCGGGCCCTGGGCCCGGCCCGCCCCCGTCGCCGCCGCCGCTGCTGCTGCTGCTGCTGCTGCTGGGCGGCGCGAGCGCACAGTACTCCAGCGACTTGTGCAGCTGGAAGGGGAGGTGAGTCGCGCCGCCGATTCCAGCGTGGACCGTGGACGCGTCCCGGAGCCCACGGCTGCGATCTGCAGCGCTGATGGTGGGGGCGCGGTGGGGACGCTCTGCTGGCCAAGTTCGGTGACCCCCCGCCCCAGCCCTGGTTTCAGAACAAAAGGGCTGGCAGGCTCGGAGGACGCCCACTCTCCGCGCGCGTATCGCTGCCCTAGCGGGTGTCCTGAGCTCCGTGGACTGCGGGTTCGGTGCTCCCAACGCCTGGGATTCCTGACTCCTGCGGAAGGGCCGAGTCCGTGCACCGCGAGAGGGCGGCTGTGGCGCGGAGAGCGCGGGGTCCAAACTAGACCCGTGTGGGCAGCAGCGCCAGCCGTGTCTGTAGGGCAGCGAGACCGGGTGGACACCTGCCCGCGGCCAAAGGCGGCGGGGTAGGGCCCCGCGCCCGCTCGGTGAAGGTCAAGCCGTCCTTGGCAGCCGGGCGCGGGGTTCTTGTGACACCCCCCGCTCGTCCCCATCGGCGATGACAGCCAAGGACTTTTTGTTGTTGTTTTAACTGAAGTGTGACGTGTGGAGAGGAGCACAAGTCACAAGTGCGCGCGGGCGGGGTTCCTGAGGACTTCGAGCTACTTTGGCACAGCGGCCGGCCCCCTCTCTTTGCAGAGCCACTTTCATACGCTGCAAGTTGCCAATTCAGCGGTTTGCCCAGCGCGCTGCGCTGCTGCGGGTCCGCGCTGGAAACGTGGGCTGGGACGGCGGTGGGGGTCGGGTGCGCTCGTCCCAGCGGCAGGGCGCCTGCGGAGGCCCGGGAGGCGCAGGCTCCGGTGTACAGGGCTCTTCGGGGCGATGTGTGTGATGGGTGATTCTGGTGAAGAGGGTGTTCTGAGAAGGGTGGATGTTGAGCGGTGCCCCGGATTTGCGTCAGCGGGACACCGGTGGTTATCTTGTACACTCACAGTGCCTAACTTTCTGAGGAAACCACCGAGACCAAAACCCACCCTCACTGAACTCCTGCTAGAGGGCTTGGACTGGAGGGCTGAGCGCTGCCTTCCGAGAGCTCCCTCCTTTCCGGGAGTTTGTTCTCTCTAGCAGAAATCGCGGCTGACTGGCAAGAGCTTGGGGCAGGCAAGGGCAGATGAGATCTGGGGGAGGGCTGGCCTCGGCAACGGCAACGCTGGCGCCATCAACAGAGCTGCCCTCGAGCCTGGGATGCGGAGCTCCTTGCGGGGCTGCTCTTTCCAGGTGGCCGGGAGCGCTCTGCTCACCTCTGCCCTGCTGAATCAGTGTTTCCTAACCTCAGTCTTGTGGTGCCCTGTTCCAGCAGACCAAAACCAGAAACTGAACGCCTCCCTTTGAATGGGGTTTCCAGACGCTCGCTTTTCTTCCAAGTTCCCAGAAAGACTCTGTGCCTGAAAGACCACCTCGACGGGGTGGCCGCCACGCAGCTAGTGAGGGGTTGAGTAGAGACAACTCAGAGACACTTTATTTCTGTGGTCCACTCTCATGCCTTCCTCCAGGTAACCAGGTAACCACCACATGATACATGTGACCGCTGGGGTGGCGCCCCGAGGTCGAGGCTGGGCCTTGTCAGCTGACTACCCGTCCCCTTGGCTTCCCTCTCTCCCCTGCCACCTCCAGAGCCAGGCCAGGGGCCTCCAAACGTGTAGGCAGTGGGAAATGCCCCAGTAACTGGTCATCCTAGTGCCTGCCTGGTCCTTCTCCCCCGTCACCAACCACTCACCCCTGTTCTGGGATTCCCTTGAGGGCCCCTGCCGAAGCCCAGCCCGCAGAGCACAGCCGAAGACATCTGGCGCCGTGAGTAGGTTTAGGCGGGAGGACACATGGGACCCCCTTGTGTTACCGCCGTTGCCCTCCCCCGTAAGCGCACTCACAGATGCGTTGACCACTGCCCAGCATGCTGGCTGCTTGCTACTCCAGTGTGGATGACTGCTTTTTTTCAAGCAGCCTACAACAAATTGCTGGGTGGAGCAAGCCTCACAATGTAGTCTCAGCTCTGGTAGGAAGGGAGTTGCTCGCCATAGCACTAGCCATTGCGTTTCCTGCGGGCTCTAGGTGTTTCCGAGGAATCAAGTTGGGAAATTTGAAATCCCTTTATCTTTCCGAGTTGATTAGCCAGTGTCATAAAGGTGGACCATAAACTTTGTCACTGTTATCAGCAGGAGCATGGCAGGTGTAGTCACACCTGGGCTGTCTTGCAAGGTAGGAACTGAAAGGCAGAAGCAGCAGACAGAGCCTGTTGGTTTCTCCTGGATCCAAGAGATCCAAGGTCTTTTTGGGATCTCTTGGGTCCTTCTAGAGACCCTTGTCTTGTCCTGGCATCTGGGTGATGGGTATGAACAGTGTACCTGAACAAGTCCTGCTCACACCAATCTGGAACTTATCTGTGTCTCACAAAGCCATTAAAATGTGTGTTTATGTGGGTAGTGAGCCTTGCTGATTGAAACCAACCAACCAACCAACCAACCAACCAACCAACAACCAACCAACCAACCAACCAACAACCAACCAACCAACCAACAACCAACCAACCACACTGCGCTGGTGATACCCTGTAGTGATATAGTACTTTTCCAGCATATGTAAGACATTGTGTTGCCACACACACACACACACACACACACACACACACACCCTCTATTCAGTTGAATCTATGATCAGATCCTCCCTGTCAATTTTATGGTGTAGACTAGGACCAGTTTTGTCTGTATTAGAGCTTCATCAGAGCATGGAATGTGGTCGCTCTATTTTGTGTAGCTGGTGTCTCACTTGCATCTTAGGAAGATGGTGAGGCCCTGTTGCTCAGTGGTCATTAGGATGGACTTTAATTTAGATGCTGGGTAAATTTGAAATCAAGATTTAGGGTACTAGGTATTCTAGTAGGAGCCTGCATAACTGGTCTTGACATCATTAAAAATCCGTCTAGTCCTCGGCTGAGGGACCTTTTGCTTTAGTCCCTACTTGTCTAAGCGTGGGCTGTGAACATTGCACTGGTGTTGATGTGAAAGCTTCTGTATCAAGCTGCTAGTGGTATTCTTGCTGATCCAAGCATGCGCGGGAACGACACTCAGTCCTTCCCTTAGCTGGTGAGGCCTGAGTGGAGGTGAGCTAGCAGATACCTCACTTCCGTGGGTGCTCTGCCCTCATGTTCTCCTTTCTAATACAGGGGCCACCACACGGTACCTGTGGCTGCCATGATGGCAGGCCCTGGTCTGGGCATTGTGGGCTGGCCTCTTGTCCCCTTGGGTTCCTTCTGCCCTGCCTGTGTTGTGGGTAGAGTCTTTCCCTTTGTCCTCCTCTGCTGCTCACCACCACCACTGAGGCCCAGAGAACCTCTCCAGTGAAGTCACTCCCTCTTGACCCTCAGCAAGCAAAACCTCATGCTGGTGCTTTACATGGAAGAGAGTTGAGGCTGTGATTGTTCTGGCGCACGAGTCAGCTGCCCCTTGATGCTGGAGAGAGACACAGTTAGGATTTAGCCATGTGTATCAGCTACTCACCATTTAGTCTAATGTTCACATAATACTGTAATATGCCCATCCCCTCATAGCTGTCAGGTGAACTCGTCTGAGTTTTATTGACTATAATTTGTAAGTTTGTTCTACATGTGTTTCTTGGGTTGTGCCTGCTAGCTGCCCGGTCCTGGCCCAGGGCTTTGTGGGGGTGGGAAACAGGTCAAGAGGGGTTCACCCACAATGCTTCTCTCTGATGTGGTCTGTGGGGTGACTTACAGTCTTAGGCTATTGTAGCCCTTGTATACAAAATGAGGTTTTGGGGGCCGGAAGCATGAGTCACTAGTAGTAAAGGGTGTTATACATTTTCTCCTTTGCAGAAAAGTTTTGGTAACTGGTAACTCGCTCAGGCTAGGTCCTGGGGATAGCCTTTTTATTTTGCATAAAAATCCTAAGAATGTGGGTGAACCTGTCTGAGATCTGATCAGAACCAAACTCCTGTAATAGAACTCTTAGCTGAAGTCACTGGTTTCTTTCCAAGACCACTTGTGGTTATGACATAACCTTAGCAACAGGGTGACTTTTGCTTTATAGTTTGGGCAGGAGAAACTACTGCATTTTCAGCAGCTTCGATTATTTTGAAAACAATGCTGCCTCACAAAGGTGTAGCATACTACACGCACCCTTTTATTTGGCATTTGTGAGGCCAAATTACTTTAGGACCCTTATTACTTTAGGAATCCCATCCGAAGGTCTTCTTGTTCTTTAGACTTCTCCCCTCCCCCACTACCCTAGGGATGTTTCCTTTGCTCTTATAATGAATCCTGCGTTAATGGCACTTGGGTTTACTTTTAAAAATATGACTGGTGATACAAAGCTTCAGGTTTAAAAATGAACTTAAGGAACATGGAAATCTCTTACTCTGTGTGGCCAACCCCTCTAGCTGCTTTGGAAGCTGCTCTCTGGAGCAGGTTGTGACATGGCATCTCTATACACAAGGTTTATCCTCACCTTTTACTCCCTTGAGGGGTTTGAAACCGTGGCTGGTGCAGCGGTCCCGCTGGTCTGCTTTGCTGCTGCCTTGGAATGCCCACGTCATGCTTGGCAGTAACTTCCTTGGAACCTGGTGCCTTTTAGGAGCCCACTAAAACCCTGGTGCACTGGGTGAAGCATGGGGATTATCTAGGTCTGGGGAGCCAGCACGGCCTGGCCTGGCCGTCAGAGCTCTGGCCTTGCTCTACTCTGAGAGTTGGTCCACTGGGAGCTGAGGGGGGTGAGTGAGTGCCTCCTGAGTGAGGCCGTCTGCGTGCCGATGGGTGTGGGAGCTCTGCTGTGAGGTCCTGGCTGACCCTGTCCCCTCTTCCCACAGCGGGCTGACCAGGGAGGCACACAGCAAGGAGGTGGAGCAGGTGTACCTGCGCTGCTCAGCAGGCTCTGTGGAGTGGATGTACCCGACTGGAGCACTCATTGTTAACCTGCGGCCGAACACCTTCTCAGCTGCCCAGAACCTGACTGCGTGCATCAAGCCGTTCAGAGACTCCTCGGGGGCCAATATTTATTTGGAAAAAACTGGAGAACTGAGACTGTTGGTGCGGGACATCAGTGGTGAGCCTGGCCAGGTGCAGTGCTTTAGCCTGGGGCAGGGAGGCCTGTTTGTAGAGGCAACGCCCCAGCAGGACATCAGCAGGAGGACCACAGGCTTCCAGTACGAGCTGCTGAGTGGGCAGAGGGGGCTGGACCTGCATGTGATGTCTGGTGAGTACCCTGTGCAGGGCTGGCTTGGGCGAGCTAACCTGTCCTGCCGCTTTCTCTCAGGTAATGCTGGAGGTTCACCTAGTCTTACTAGTTTTTTCTTACCCTCCCGAGTTCACCTCTGTGAAACATTCCTGTCTGTGGCTTTAGTATGGGAGGCTGGTCCCATGAGCCCTTTGTCCCACTGCGGGACTGCAAGATGGAAGAGTACTGGACCTTAAAACTAAATGCAGCCTCTTTGGTCCAAGGCTCCCTGTAAGAAGACTTCTGTTCGTGGTGTACCTTCAGGCCCCTGGAGCTTCTTCACTTGAGAGAACTAAGGCAGTAGGAGGCTGTGTTCCCTGATAATGCCTTACGGCTCCAGTCCCTAAAGTACTGTGTAAAGCTCGTTTAGGATGGAGCTTCTTTCCTTCCAGCTGTCCCACAAACTGGCTCGGGGTTTTGGTGTCTGCTGTAGCCTTGAAATAGTTTTGGGTAGGGAGCAGAACAGCATAAACCCATGGCATTCCAGAGGCTTTTGAGGATATAGACTAGGATTGAGAAAACCACAGCTGACCCAGCTCCATCTCCACAAGACAGAGCCAGGAGCTTGGTGGAGAGGCTCCTGCATGGAGACACCAGCAAGTACCTGGGTAGGGTCTGAGACTGAGAAAGGGAGTAAGTAGCCAGGTACCCTTAGGGATTGGGGTAGGTAGAGCTGGGAGGAGACCCCGGGACAGAACGGCAGCCTCGGGAACCGATGCAGTGTCAGCTTCAGATAGCGATTGATGATGAGATTCTAGTACACATTTCCCAAGACTGAGCGAAGGCCAGATGAGGTGACACATGTGCCTAAAAACCGAAGCTGTGGACTTGGCTTTCTCTCTTTTGTTTGACACAGCAGATGCTTTTGTGTGTGACAGACAAACTGCATCAATAATTGCGTGGCTTTGTGGTGGGTAGCAGAGAGCTCTCAGCTCAGGACCCTGCATCAGGGTAAGGCAGGTCTGCTCCTTGTGCTGTGATCCATCAGGGTCTTAGTTCTTTGGTCATAGACGAGGGTGACTGATCCCCAAAGCTTCCCTCTCTTCTCTCTGCCCTTTACTGCCTGCCGACTCTATGTCCGTACTTCCAGGCTAAGGGAGGGAGACCTGTAGGGTCAGCTGAGTGGCCTCGGGCTCTCCTGGGGCTTCAGGAAGGCAGGAGCCCTGGCATAGGCATTTAGCAGTAGTCTTGTATTCAGTACTCCATGCACCTTCCAGGCCACAGGACCTCAGACGAGGCAGTGTCCCAGGAAAAATGCTATGCTATCCCTGTGCCTAAGATTTTACTGTTTGAGCCTGAGGGTTCCCCCATTGTCCTGAAACATACACCTCCTCGGCCTGGATGGCTGTGAAATTAAACCTGCAGTGACTCTGCACACCTTGCCAGTGTAAGACACTGCACAGTGACTATCAGACCTCAAGACGGGCTGAGGTGGCTCTGAGCTCTGGCCCAACTCTAGCCTTGCCTGGGAGCAAGCATCGAGACCTGTGACACCTGCGGCTGGGCACCAACCACCCTTCCTAGGGAGCACCACCAGAGTCCCCAGGGTGGAGATGGCCTCAACCGGACATTTGGCTTTCTTTGGAATGGAGACTCCTGACTGATGGTGCCTGAGGAATAAGTAGGTATATTATGTAGAATTTTAGCGCTGGCTGTTGTCCTGCTCAGACTGGGCCAGCTCCCAACTCTCTATGGCCAGTGTCAGGCTTTCTCTCTTTTCCTGCTCTGGCGTTGGTACAGTTTCAGAAATGAGAGATAAGCCAGAGCTAAGTCAGTGTCAGCCAGAGAAGGAAGAGCGTACCTGACCTGGGTGGTTGTGCCAGAGGCAGACAAGCTCTTAGATGAATCAGTTTTCATTTGTGCTGACTCAGGAGAACCGTGGTGCCATGGCGTGGAACCCAGACAGTAGCGCTGAATGTGTGCGAATCTGTGTGGGGAGCACCCATGTGCGTGTGATGGGCCTTGCTCCCCCCGGAAAGGAGGGAGCCTGCCGCTGCTCCAGGATAGGCCCACTGCAGTGCTTACAGCTTCATGTCCACTGGGTTACACAGTTGACGGTGAGCTGCGTCAAAACGGAAAAGACCAGAGCAGCAGGGTATAGTGCTGTTCTAGGGGAGCAGATGGGCCATGTGAGAGGTGATGCTGGATTTGGCTGCTTGTCCTGCACCTGCTGCCCCTGTGCCCTTGCTCAGGGTGTCTGGGCAGTGACACTACCTCCGGTGCTTGGGGAAATCTGGCAGAACAGTAAAGGCTCTACATATGACTACACATAAAACTCCATCTGTAGGCTTCCCTTGGCCCAGCTGTGTTGGAGAAATGACTATGGGGTGACCCGCCAGGGTGAGATTCTGTCTGGTCCAGGGGACAGGTACAGCTGGGGTGGGTCCTGGTTGCATTCCATCCTGGTGGGCTCATGACCTTGGCCATGGCTGTGGAACTCTAGGAGAGGTCAACTGAGAGGGTTGGTAGCAACAGTGGCATTTCCAATACACAGCTGAAGAGGTAGGCAGAAGGAACTTTTCATCGCCATTGTTCACAGGCTCACAGGGTAGAGCCTGTGCTTCTGAGCATGTCTGCGTATCCTCTTTATTACACTCTCCTTGTTGCTGGCAGGCTTGTGAAGCTGCATGGAGCTCCACTGCCCAGGCCCATTTGGTAGACTCAGAGTTTGGGCCTGATGGTGTGAGGGTTGAAGGCCATGTCCTTGTTTGTTTTGTTGATACAGGGTCTCTATTATGTAGCTTTGGCTGTCCTGAAACTTGCCATGTAGACCAGGCTGTCCTTGAGAACTCACAGAGATCCACCTGCCTCTGCCTCGAGAATGCCAGGATTAAAGCTGTGCGACACCCTGCCCGGTGGTGGTCATGTCTTCAAGTGGACAGTAGCATCCCACCCTGGAAGCTGAAGAATGAAGGGCCTGCTCTTGGAGCTCTGCATCCTCTGCCTTGGTGGTTTCTCAGGCCACTGTAATTATCTTGTGATTGTTTTTCATCTTAACCATCTCTCAGCCTTGGATAAAGAAGGGTGTGGTGTTCACTGACTTCTTTGCTGGGGTGAAGGGGTCAGAGAACCCTGGGGTCATTGTCCTTCTGGTGGAGGTGGTCACTGCAGAAGGCAGGCTTTGGCTCCTAGACCGCTCTGCCCAAGTATGTCCCGCTTCTCTGCTCCTGATTTAACAGTGTGTACCTACCACCTGTCACGAGGTGCTCTAGGGACCTTAAAGGGCTTTGGTGCGTAAGGTTTCACTTTGGAACTGTATGTGTCCTCATTTGGAACTGTATGTCTGTCCTCATCAGGCAGTGCTGCCCACACACCAGTTAGTCTAGCTTACGAGTGTGCAGTCCCTCCTAGCATCCAGCTGTGTTTGCTCGCCTTGCTTTCCTCCCTCCTGGCAACTGTACCCAGGTTGAGCCTTCACCTGACTCTTCAGGTGTCCCCAGGAGGCGCCTTTAAATGTTTCCCCCCTCATTTGATTATTTTCACTCACTTTCCTGCTTGATTTCCAAAGTGGCTCCCAGGAAATGGGATGCCAGCATTTGCAACCAGCACATTCTTCAGCTGCTATGAATTTGATTCTGATTAATAATTCTTTCTAGATTGAGGTTCTTGGCATCCACGTTGAGTTTCTGCAAAACTGAAGCTCAGAATTAGAACAGGGATGCCTCGCATGGGCCACTAGCTCAGTTGCCACTCCTCATGGCACCAGCTCGTCGAGGCTGGTGCAGGTTTGCAGTCTGCCAAGCCTGACAAAAGGGCATCTCCTGAGATGTGAGCCAGGTCACGCACAGCTGAAGTGGATTCTCTCCACATGTTCTCTGCAGCTGACAGCTGAGATCCTAGCACCTGTGGCTCACAGAGAAGGCAAAACTTAGGCAGGGACTTGGGCTACCTGCATATGGCTGGGGTCACTGCCCCTCAGCTCCTGTTCGCTGGAAGGAGCTGCCCTGGTTCAGCTCAGATAACTTTCCACTCAGAGGCGTTCTAGGGTGACTTCTGGGGACCCTTGCCTCCAGCTCCCAGCACTGTGTGGCCTGGATGCTCGACCTTTTCTCTAACCTCTGCTGCCCCTCCTCCTGAAGGGGACCCTCAGGTGGGCTGTGGTGACTGGAGTCAGTCAATACCTGCCTGTGGGCACCAGTCAGGCGCCAACCAGGGTCAGTTTCCCAGAGCACCATGCTCTGAACTTAATGTTTCTTAAAATTAGGCTCTGAGGTCTCCTGTACTGCCAGGCCCTGTGTTCCAGATCAGACCAACCCTTCCTGCCCACATCCAGTATGAGCTGCTGGTTCCTACTCAGAGTGAGGATGAGCAGCATGCTGCAGAAGCCACACACCTCAGCAGCTTCAGAGTTGAGGTTCAGGTGACCCCACAATGGTGGGGGCTGTGGTGACCCAAGCAAATATCACAGGAAGGAAAGGGCTGCAGGGCAACCAAGGTTGAGGGTGGACACCCAAGGGACCAGCAAACTGCAGCTTCCAGGAATCTGGCTACACCAGGTCTCTGCAGCAGAAGTCTCTGAACTGTGAAGCCAGCGGGGGGTGGGAGTGCTTGATTTTCTGATGGGCTATGCCGATGCCAACAGGTTGTACTTGTTCTGTGGCTTCTCCCTTTTCTGATAACTAAATAGAAGCAAAAGTTCTGGCAGGTGAGTGGGTGGGTGAGTCAGCAAGAGCCCAGGCTGGGAGGCACCCCACCCCCCTTTCTGGGGTAGGACCAAATGATAGGGCCCCAGACACACCCAGCCCAAGGGTCCGCAGAGACCTGTGCTTGATTAGAACACTGTAAACCCTGAGGCTTTGTCTAGGCTCACTCCTTCAGGACTTATAAGGCTTCTCTGAACTTCTGCTGGCCTGGAAACACTTGGCCTGCTTTCCCTCCATCCACATGAGTGCTATCTTGGTTCCCTCGGGGGCCAAGTCAGCAGCACTTAGGGTCAAGCTGTGTGGCCTCCAGGCGTGTGGATAGCATTGGCTTCTTCCAGGACAAGGGATCCCCAAGACAAGGGTGCCCCAAAGCCTTTGTAGGGGACTGACCCCAGGGAAATTTGTCCGAGATTTCATACCATAGGGTTTCTGTTTATTTGGAGAACTTGGGCCCAAGCAGGAAACTGAGGACCAAGCCTTGAGACATACTTAACAGCAAATAACTAGCTTCCATCTTCCTGAATCTACTCTGAATGGCCTGTGGGGAAGCTGCTGAGCCACAGTTTCTGTTCCACACCAGGGGAAGTGGGACGAAGGGCAGGAGATGGCTATCATGGAGAAGTGGGTTATATAAGTGGTTGACCACTGAGGGAGTTCATTCTAAGAGTTTATGTACCTCTAGGCTCTCTGTAGGATGCCAGGCTCCAGGCTTTGGGTACCTTAAATCTGACTCCTATCATTAGGACTCAATTTGATGGGCTCTTCTATATAACTTGTCCCAAGGCTTAGTGAGGCCTAGGGTAGAGGCTACACTGATGCCCAGCCCAAGACCCCATAGCCATAGCAGATAGATGTCCCCACTCAGCACCCACTCTCCCGCTCACCAATTGCTACTCCACGTGCAGACACTCAGCCTTGGTTCTTGTAGGACATGTCTAGGGCAGATGGACTGTGATCTGGGACGTGGAGGTCATGTTGCAGTAGGGGGCTGCTTTCCACTGAGATGCCCACGCCATTTTGGGTTGTGGGTGTGGAAGCTGGGAAGGGTGTCTTGGTGAGGTAGTACCTGTACATGGTTTCAGTTCATTTTGGGGTTGGTTTTGCATTGTGACAGGCTTGTAAGAGCAGTTTTATTTTTATTGTTTTGTTTTGAAATGAGCAGAGTTGTTGCTTACTTAGAACTATGCTAACAGGGTAAATAGAGGCGGCATGGAACGCGTTCTCTTTGTCTGAACTTGTGCTATTGTTGCTATATTGTGAGCCAGGAGGGTCACATGGTCACTAGTAAGTAACGTTTGGCTTGACAGAAGTTGGTTTTCTGCCCCTGCTTTGCTGATCACCTCCATGGTAGGGTTGGAGTTGGCCAGAGGTCTCACCATGACTTTGCCTCATTTTGACATCCGTCCTCAGATGTTGGCCAGGGAGGCAGGCCTTTCGTGTTCTTCAGCGTCAGGTTTGGGGAGGGTCTGTGATTAGCCAGTGTCGCCTGGGCTGTCTCACCGCCCTGTTCTTTCCTCCCCAGCCCCGTGCCGGCCTTGCAGCGACACCGAGGTCCTCCTGGCCATCTGCACCAGTGACTTTGGTAAGTCTGTTCCCATGGTTGTCCTTCCAGGCTCTGAGGGCTTTCCCGAGGCAGTGTTGATTTCTTGTATGTGTGTGTGTATGGGGGAGGGCTGCTGGAGCTGCTGAAGCTGGCTCCACCCCAGCACCCCAGGGAGCAGTGCACACCACGCACGCAGGCAGAGTCAGGGCTTGCATTCTGTGTGCGCCAGTGCGCTGACAACAGCAGCTCACAACCTCCTTGGGACTCTGGAAGTCCTTCAGTTCCCAGTAAACTTTTAGACATGCTCTGGGAACATCATTCAGAGGCCAGCCTGGTGTGTCCCGGTGCCAGCCCCAGCTCAGAGCTCTCCTCATTCTTCATCTAGGTGCTTGGTGATTGGAAGCCCTTTTGGAGTCAGGGATGTTTTCTGAGGGTTGGAGGCTCCTTGCCAGAACATTTGCATAGCGATCTTCTTGGGCAAAGACCAGGGATAGTTCTTGCTGAACTTCTGCCATAATAGTGGCTACATTGACCTGGGGCCCAGCTGGCTCTGCCCAAACCCTCATCCAAATGCCAAGAACTGTCACTTGGTGGAATCTTGACTCCTTATTGCTCTATTCTCCAGCCCGTACCTGTACAATACAAGTCATTCTCTGTGCCGCCCCCCCCCCCCCCATTCTTGTCCACTGAGCGGCACTGTGACACTTGAAGGGACCCAGAAGTGCTGAGCATTTTGCTTATTTTCTTGTTCTTACTGGAAGAGCGTGTGCTGTGAGGCTGATGCTCAGTGAACACCTTTGTCAGATTGTGTCAGTATTGTGGACTGCTGCTCATCATTGATCTTCCTGTAGACTATTAGGTAACTAGAGTAGATTCAGGTCCAGTTCTAACGCCTTTGACAGCCAGGGACATGCCCAGGGTGAGGTGTGCTGTGTGCCTGCCATTGCTGAAAGTGACCGTTAGATTTTCTGACCTCTGCCTCCTTCTTCCACAGTTGTCCGAGGCTTCATCCAGGATGTCACCCACGTGCCAGAGCAGCAAGCGTCTGTCATCCACCTGCGGTTGAGCAGGCTCTACCGGCAGAAGAGCAGGGTCTTTCAGCCAGCGCCTGAGGGTGGCCACTGGCTGGGCCACGTCTCAACACTGCTGCAGTGTGCAGTGCGGCCAGGGCACGGGGAATTCCTCTTCACTGGACATGTGCGCTTTGGGGAGGCACAACTTGGGTGTGCCCCACGCTTCAGTGACTTTCAAAGGATGTACAGTAATGCAGAGGAGAAGGGCACAAACCCCTGTGACATCAATGTGGACTGATCTGCAGGGTGACATAGTACTGTTCTCCAAATGAGCCACCGTTTGTGGTCTCAGTTGCTCTGTCAAATCCTGATAGAGGCTGCAGGCTGGTGGCATGGACCCAGCCTGGTGGTTGAACTGGGAAGGAACACGCTGCTCTGATCTCATTAGGGCCCAGCCAAGGACTCCCTGACCCATTGGAAATGCTGTAAAATGCAAACTAAGTTATTATATTTTTTTTAAAGATGCGTTGGTGTGCCATTTAATAGTATTTTAGGAATTTATTCTTAGCCATTGCATTTGGCCCGATGTATGGTGGGGGCTCGGTTGTGGTGCACAGTGATGACTGCGGGTCCTCCATGGCCACCGCTCCACCTTGTTATCCTTGTAATGGAAATGTATGAAGCAGATACTTTTTAATTTTCCCTTCATTTTATTTTTAATTTCAAAAGGCCGTCTTCGCAGTTGAGAGCCTTCCCAGACTGTATGTGGGCAGCTTCCATTCCAGAGAATAAAACCAGGATCTGAGCACAATATTATATCCATCTTAACCCATCAGGTGGGTTCCTGCATTGAACCTTCTCTGCTCGGCTGTGGCCCTGCTGCCCCAAGACCTTTTGCTCACTGAACAGTTCTAGATGGTGCTGGCTAGCTTTAGGCTCCTTCCCTGATCCGGCCAGTCCAGGGTTGCCTTCTGCATCTGTCCACACCTTTTCCACTGAGCCAGGCTTGTCCTTTGGCCCCAGGTTTTCCCAAATATGCTCAGTAAATCTCTGGATACCGAGGGACTAACCTACTTAACAGCCACATTTCTTCCAAGGGCGTGAGTTTTCTCGACGGTAAAACAAAACCAAATTCCACAAACTGAAGCTTAAACAGCTTTCATTCATGCAGTTCTGAAAGCCAGAATGTTGTAAGCAGAGTTGCATCTTCTGGAGACTCCACGAGGGACTTTTCAGCTTCTGCTGACTCCAGGCATCCCTGGCTTGTGGCCGTTTGCTCTGTTGTTGCTCTCCTTGCCATGTGACTTCTGCCCTGTATGTGTGTCTGCAGCAAGTCTCCATCGTGGAAGGACACAGGTCACTGATTTAGGGCCCACCCTGGTGACCTCATCTTCACATGATCATGACTCCATTTCAGTTTAGGTCACAGCCAAATGCTGCAGTAAATACCAAATCTGGAGGAAGAATATTCACTCTCATGGCTGGAGAGAGCATCAGTGGTTAAACACTTGCTGCTCTTACAGAGGCCCTGAGTTTGCTTCCCAGCACTCATGTTGGGTGGCTTGCAATGGCCTTTAACTCCAACTCCAGGTTCTCTGGCAACTTTTTTTTTCAAGGTACCCACCCATACATAGACACACACACACACACACACACACACACGCACGCACGCAATGTTAAAAAACAGCAAAGAATATTCATTCCAGTACAGGAGCTGGGGTGGCGGCATCTCATCTCATGGGCCTTGTCCTGCTGGAGTCCTGGCTGGAACCTCATCAGTTCTTGGAGCTGCTGCCTCCTGTTTAAATTCTGAGAACTCTGTGGCCTTTGCTAGTTCCTGAGGCATGTTGAGGGACCCCTCCTCCTCCCAGCTTTGGGCCTCAGGGGCAAACAGACCTAGTTGTGATTATTTATTCATCGGGTGCTTCTTCCCATGCAGCTCCTGAAGCAAGACCTAGAAGAGCCGGGTGTGGCCAGTGAGCGCCAGGCCGCTGTGCCAGTTTAGGCGTGGGCCACTCACCCTAGTGTGTGCCAGCCCAACTTGCAGTGGTACAGGGGTCTGCAGGTCACAACAAGAAACAGGTGTCTGTGGGTGAGGACGTGAGGCAGTAGTTTGTGATGGGCTGGGCCCTGCTGTGGCTGGTGATTATGATGCCTTATGCCAGAAGGACTAGGTCACAGAGATGCCATACCCTGCTGAGCCACTCCTAGTTCCTCCTCCTCTCGGCCTACAGGAAGCTGCAGAACAGGATTGGTGTGCTGGCCACCACCTGTCTGTATGGGAGATTGGCGTCACCCTTAGTAGAGTCAGGTGAATGGCACCTGAACCTCAGCTTTTGATGTACCTTGGAGTGAGGAGGCTTGCATAAGATGAGAGAGAGCTGGGCTTCCCAACAGGTATGAAAGTGGCCTCTCTGATAGAACCTTGGCTGGAGCAGGCAGGGCCCAAGAGCCTGACAGATACTGACATCACTTGTAGACACTCCTTACACTTAACAGGTCTAGGTAGACACCTGGTTCCTCGTCGGAGTCTCCTTTTCCATGGCTTGGGTTGCTTGGTACTAGGATAGAACCACAGGGTTGGGGAAAAGCCATGGTGCTAGGGGACAGCTGCCTCCTTGGAGAACTGTAAGGCCCACACAGTCTCAGCACGTACTGTGAAGAGGTGGGAGCTGCTCTGACTCCATCCAGAAGGTGAAGGGAGCTATGCAGAAGCCTCAAGTCCTGACCCACCTGTGGCCCAAATTCTGCCTTACCACGATCCACCTGCTTCTCTCAGCCTTTCTCCTCTCTGTGCTGCTCCCACCGCATTCCATACCTCGTCCCACTCCCGCACTATTCCCTTCTCTGATATGGCCCACCTCCTCCTCCCACAATCCCCTACTGCCATCCTGCCCCTCCTCCCCATCCTTCTTCTCTTTACTTCTTTCACCCCGTCTTCCTTCTTCCTCTTCCCTTTATTTCCCTTTCCCCTTCTCCCTTATTCTAGTCCCATACACAGTCCCCAAGTGTTTTCTCCCCCTGAACTGTTTTTTTTTTTCCCTCCTTTGTCCCTTTCTCTTGTTTTCTCCATGTGTGTTGTGGCCTAGTCCTGTACCGCCCCCATCTCCCTCACTGCCCCTTCTTTTTTGCTCTTATTGCTGCACTGTTCCCTCCTCCTGCACCCCCTCTCCACCTTTCTCTCTCCTGCCTGTTCCTTCATCCCCGCTGGCCCACTCCTCTGTCCCCTTCACCTGCACTCTCTGCTCGCACTGTCTCCGCTGCTGTGCTGCCTACACTCCTCCGATACCACCCGCTCTCTTTGCACCGTTCCCTGCCCGTCCTGTCTATTCTGGCTCCCTTTTCTGTTCCCTTATGCCATGTCCTGCTATAGGTACCAAGCCCAGACACCATGATTCTTCTACTTCATTTTCTGTTGTAAGCCTGTGGACCAAACCTCACTGCTGGCTGCATCTCCTATCAGTGTCTCAGGTCACAGGCCCTGTTTTTGGACTTGCTGCCCTCTGGTCAAGTTCTGAGAACCCTGTGGCCTTTTCCAGTCCTGCAAGCATGCTGGGAGAGCACAGCTTCTTTGGGAGTCTATGACTTGCCAAGCTCAGGATGTGCACGGACAACTCCTTCTATCTAACCCTACCTACTGGGGCTTCATTTTACAGATAGGAAGTGGGAACATGTCTTGCTAGGCCTCTTTTACTGGCTGTATGCCACAAAGCACTCAGTGGTGGCAGACAGACAAACTCTTCCCCTGCATCGTCCTTACCCGCTGTACTGTCCCCACCCTACCCTCAGCCAGTTCCTGTAATGTTCTGGACCTCATTTCCTGCCTTGTGGTACCTGCTTAGGAGACTGAATGTGACATGCCACAGGAGAACAACATGCCACAGGAGCCCACCCACCCTGTGGCACACTAGGATAAGGGGAATATCAAGCTGTTTGTGTGGGTGTCCCTGTCATGCTCTGGTGATTTCAGATTGCTCTGGCCCCAGGGTAGCAAGAACTCCAGGTAGGTGACTAGGCTCCTACAGGGCCAGTCAGCACTGGGACCTCTCTTCTGCCTCCCTGGGAGCAGATCAGCAGCATCTCAAAAACAAGCCAAACAAACAAACAAAACCACCCTTTTGGCCTCTTAAAATTGATCATAAGCATCAACTGTCACATTTTTGTTCTCGGGAAAAGTGACCTAATATGCTGCCTCTGTGGCAGAGACAAAGAATGCCCTGCTTGCCCTGGGAACGTAGAGCCACAGACTAACAGATTTGCTCGCAGGTCACCGGGGGTCCCCATACCAATGCTGTCTTCACAAGCCCGGCCTCTGCCATTGGTCCTCCTCCCTATCCCAGGGTCGTCAGTACTTAGCTATGGCTTTCCATGTCTACAGGAACCGTAAAGCCGTGCCTCCGACCTTGCGCTTTCTTCTGCCAGTCTTGCCACCTGAGTTTAAACTCTGCCTCCTGCAGTTACGTTGTGCTGTGAGCACCCAAAGCTTGAGCTGCTTTTGACCCACAGTCCATGGATCCTACTTCTGAACTGTTTTGAGTATTTTAGGTCAGAGCAGAGACTGCCAGTGGGTCTCTGGAATGTGTGGTGGGCATTTCCCACCCAGAGTTGGGCCGTGATTTCTTAGTGCAGTTAGAACCTTTCCCCAACACCAGTTTTAAAAGGCTTTCCCCATGATTATAAAATCAATGCTTTAAGTGAGACCATTTTTTTAACTATTGAAAAGCGAAGAAAAGGACAGACAAACACTTCCATGTAGCATGTTCATCAAGATTGTGCCAGGGTCTTTCTAACGATGACATTCAACTCTGTGTAGCTAGTCTATGGCTAGTGACCTGGGTCACTGGCTTTGACATCCCTGAACCCTCTGCATATGGTTCCCTCAGGAGCATAGACATGAGGTGGCCAGGGAGAATACACAGGGCTTCTTTAGATTCTCGGTGATCTCTCTTGCTTCCTGCTGTGAGATCAGTGCTTAAACCCGAGAACAGCAAAAGTTCCCAAGTAGCAATTTCTGTTTCTTTGATTCGTAAGTCATGTTTTCAACTCTTTTCTGAGTCTTGTCTTTTATTTATATTGCCCTGAAGTCCTGCCCTGATCCTGGGGCCTGGCATGCAAAGGGCGGTTATAGCCTCCCATGAGGGAGTGGATAATTCTTGATCCTCCAGTGGTCCTGGTGCAGGCACAGGGCCCTGTAAATTGGAAGACAGAGGAGGAACGTGTGAGCCTAGGAGTCTAGGTGCTTGCAGAAGCCAAAACAGGTAAAGGAAGAGGATCCAGCAACCAGGCCTGTAATGCCTTGAGTTCAGGCTACTGTGACTTTGTTCAGACTTCTAGAGACCCATGACTTCCCATCTGTATTATAGGTCTCTGAGTTGGTGGTGATAAATTAGTAATGATCTGAGTCCTTGTCCACAAAATGAGGCTGTCAAATGCTTTCTCAGCTGGGAGGGTTGTGTGGAACTCCGGTGGCTATGAAAGAAGGAAGGCTGGCTGCTGGGAAAGCCTGGCACTGAGGCCTGAAGGAC